CGACTCGGCTTGACCGAATCGGGATGACAGAGATACAGTACGTGGAATGCGGCAAGACATGGCACGGCAAAGCGAGGCCGGCACGACAGCGGTAGACGCGTGGCACGTGGCGACAACACGACCGGCAGTGGCAGCGGCGGCTGCAGCGGCTCGGCAAGGCGGCGCGATGGCTGCGGCAGCCGCAGCAACGCGGCGGCTAGGGCAAGCACTGGCAATGGCGGCACCGCGACGGCGACGCACGAGACGGAGAGATGAAATGAAAGGATACATCACCGAGAAACAACGGCAACCTGTGGAGGAGCGACGATGGTGGCGACCCGGCGGCAACACACGGACGGCGACGACGGCAACTAGGGCACAACATAGATATATTATATTAGATGGGGTAAGTCGACGGTGAACCATACCGGCAAGGGACAAGGGGAAGGAAATGGCTCACCGGAGATGATGGCGGCGGCGGCGACCCGACAGCGGGGAGGCGGCGGCGTGGCAAGGCGGTGGCAAGCAGCGGTGCGGCGCAGGAGAGGAGGGGGAGGAGCGGCTAGGGTTAGGGCGGCTTGGAAATAGAACAAAAATAAGAGGGGGTGCGGTACTTATATAGGTGGTGATGGGATTTGGTGGGGCCGGATGCGCCGTGGCAAAGGAGAAGGGGGAGGGGCGGCACGCAACTAGCGAGAAGGGAGAGGCGTGCGGCTGGGGTGGTGGCAAAGGGAGTTGTAGGGGAAAAGGAGGCGGTGCCGTTTTAGGAAAGAAAAAGAAAACGGCGATGGAATCAGAATATGACAGGGACTCGACCCATGAACACAGTGTGAGGCCGAAAATGACAAGGGGTCAGACGATGCGGCGGACCGCGGGCAGAAAGTGAACCGAAAACGGTCCACGACCAAAGGAGGAAAGGGAAAGAATTAATTAGAGTGAACCCAGACGATTTTTATTAGGTTAACAGGGTTACTTCCTCTGCTTTGAATATTCATCTGAAAATCTTGTTAGTGGATTAGAGCTTGAAGAATTCGAAAAAAAAAATCTCATGGCCATTCGGATTATTACTCGCATTATTAAATTAAGATTTGCTCCAGGTTAAACAGAACATTTTCTTCGGGTGATTTATTAACGAATTGAAAACTAAGAGAAAGAGGAAAACTCCGGGTGTGACATTGCCTACAGGATCACAGGGTTGGCATGACCCAACCCTCTTGATCTCTACATATATATATATATATATATATATATATATATATATATATATATATATATATATATATATATATATATATATATAGGACGCCCAGATAGGGCTCCATGGTGCCCGGGCACCACTGACATCTGCCGTTGGATCACATTCTCATCTAGTTGATCGGTACATGTATATTTGATTAACGGGTTCACCCGTTAAGTACATTTGATTTGGAAATTGACAGCGTGTGCATGCATGCAAAATATTTAGTAACGTCTTTAATACCTAGGTTTGGTAATTGACAGCGTGTGCATGCATGCAAAATATTTAGGAGTATCAATTTAGCGTATTTAATACCTTTCCATCAACAGTTCACGGCCGTTATTTGGTTTCTAAATATTTGTCACCATAATCATGGATTTGCGGTTTATTTGGCAACAAATATAATGCGGTTTATTAGGGTATATGAAAATCTAAGTATACTTCTACGATGTAGTATATATGGAAATGTTATCCTGCTGTTATTTTGAAAATAATTATATAAGGAAACCGAGGTACCCTAAGTACACCATGGACGATGTAATTGGAATATAAGTATATATGGAGGCTAAGTATATGGTATGCTTATGTACACCTAGCTAAATTAGTGCGTTTTGCACTTTCCAGATTCAGAAAATGTTTACTCATTTATGTAATGTAATGGCTATGTATACACGGGTTATTTTTTCTATATACTTAGCTAACTTGTTAAGTATACAAAGTTTTAAATTACGTTAATTTAATTATATTATGAATCCAAGCGTATATAAATTTACAATTTGTGTACACGGTATATTTTATTATTGTCATCTTATATTGTTGTAAATAGAAATACCATGGTTTCTAAGTATATCTATATTTCAAATCTGTGTACTGTAGATTATTAGAATTTAAAACTCGCCTACCTAGGCTGACAGTACATTATTTCCTAATTAAATTTGGAACCAAGTATATTTTAAGTCGTTACGTCCGGATGTAAAATTTAATATAAATAAATCCAAGTATATTTTTGTACCATGGATTTTAAGTATATCTAAAATTAAAATTTAATATAAATAAATCCAAGTATATTTTTGTACCATGGATTTTAAGTATATCTAAAATTTAAATGTGTGTACTGTGTATTATTATTTCCACCATGTTTTTCCATATGTGCCGATTTAGATTAAATTCAATTTCTTTCCACAGTGTTTTAGATGCGCTTTTAGAAGTTTAATATGCTGAATTGAAAGAGTAGATCTCTTAAGTGAAGTCTGAAAGGAAACAAAATATCGGTGAATTGGCTCATCCACATATCATAGGAGTTTAGCATAATATAAATGAAACATATGCTAATTAAAGTAAAAACGATCTATAAATATAGATGTAACTAGTTTATTATTACAGTACGATTGTGATTCATAAATGTAAAAACACCGAATGGCTGCTTATTTGACCGATGGCTGGCAACCATATCACACCATCAGAGAGTTGATTTTCGGCTGGTACTTGCATGTTGCCTCATGTTTGCTATTCAGACGGTGGGCGAGTCACATTTCTCATCACTAGGATGAGAATTTATCATCACTATGACGAGAAATGATCAACTTAGGAGCCTCCACCTCCCTCTTGACATCTTTACGGTCTGTATCTATCTCCTACGAAAAAAAAACAAGTGGAAAATGTTAAGAGCAGGAGTGACAAATCCAGAACTGGAGCTGAACGTGAACCAAAAATATATTAAAATAAATTACCTGTGAATCATTGGGCTTCGTTTCATCGTCTATTAACATCTGCGCCTTTTGGAGATATGCATTCTCCTCTTGAAGACCATACTCATTGACTAGGGCCGTCCAAGTATCTTCAAAATCACTTGCTGTGCGTGCATGATATAAGTTGTGTAGTTCTGACTTCGTACCAAATAATATGTGCCAACGGCAGCGTGGGTGATCATACTTCTGCAGCGACTGATCGATCTTATCGCTCCGGGCACCAGTGTTCATCTTGTCCATAGCTACTGGCAATATAGGTATAAATTCCAGAATACTAAGAAGAGGTCAACATATATGAGAAGTACATATACGTACAGATAAGTTGGAGCCATACCTGGAACAGAAATGTGTTGTTGGTGAGAACCAGAGAGAGCACCAGAAGTGAGCAGAGTCGTATTGTTCTGCTCTTTATATGTTGCAATTGTGTCTCCGTTGGAAGGAATGAAAAAATTAATATCATTACCAAGTATAAAGATCTTATTTATGGTAATATTTATAGCTATTACGACCGATAGGTTACATAATATAATTTGTTACCGTCAACATGGATCGATCCAGTCAGAATTGGGTATCAATTGATTAATTTAGTAACCAACTAGTGATTTCGGTACTAATTGGCCATAGTCAACGGGATAGAGAGAGAGTGAAAAAATGCACGTCTGAATACCACAAGATTAATGACATAATCTGTACTTTTATAGGTGTACATGTACACATAGGTTTATGAGTGACAGAGCGAACACGTATACATGTATATCCCACAAGATGAATGACATAATTATGAAATAGAAAACATATCCGAATTTAATTAAAAACTTGTCCAAGTGCAACACGCAAGATATGGGAATATTTTTACAAGATTGTATTTAAAAACAACGATAGACTTGCTTCTATACACCAACACCACACGTTGATGCATAGTGACCAGCTAACTTGCATTTCGTGCACACCTTGATCACTTTGTTCTTCGATGTGTTCTCCGGATTTGTGGGGCATCCAGTTCTATAGTGCCCCTTCAGATGACAGTTCGAACAAATGCGCTTTTTTCGGACTCCACCATCTACTGGGGACTTCAGCCTGGTGGACCTAGGTCGGCCACGCTTTGCCCGACGATCAGGTGGCAGTGGCAAGCTTGCCACTGCCACCTGATCGTCGGGCAAAGCGTGGCCGACCTAGGTCCACCAGGCTGAAGTCCCCAGTAGATGGTGGAGTCCGAAAAAAGCGCATTTGTTCGAACTGTCATCTGAAGGGGCACTATAGAACTGGATGCCCCACAAATCCGGAGAACACATCGAAGAACAAAGTGATCAAGGTGTGCACGAAATGCAAGTTAGCTGGTCACTATGCATCAACGTGTGGTGTTGGTGTATAGAAGCAAGTCTATCGTTGTTTTTAAATACAATCTTGTAAAAATATTCCCATATCTTGCGTGTTGCACTTGGACAAGTTTTTAATTAAATTCGGATATGTTTTCTATTTCATAATTATGTCATTCATCTTGTGGGATATACATGTATACGTGTTCGCTCTGTCACTCATAAACCTATGTGTACATGTACACCTATAAAAGTACAGATTATGTCATTAATCTTGTGGTATTCAGACGTGCATTTTTTCACTCTCTCTCTATCCCGTTGACTATGGCCAATTAGTACCGAAATCACTAGTTGGTTACTAAATTAATCAATTGATACCCAATTCTGACTGGATCGATCCATGTTGACGGTAACAAATTATATTATGTAACCTATCGGTCGTAATAGCTATAAATATTACCATAAATAAGATCTTTATACTTGGTAATGATATTAATTTTTTCATTCCTTCCAACGGAGACACAATTGCAACATATAAAGAGCAGAACAATACGACTCTGCTCACTTCTGGTGCTCTCTCTGGTTCTCACCAACAACACATTTCTGTTCCAGGTATGGCTCCAACTTATCTGTACGTATATGTACTTCTCATATATGTTGACCTCTTCTTAGTATTCTGGAATTTATACCTATATTGCCAGTAGCTATGGACAAGATGAACACTGGTGCCCGGAGCGATAAGATCGATCAGTCGCTGCAGAAGTATGATCACCCACGCTGCCGTTGGCACATATTATTTGGTACGAAGTCAGAACTACACAACTTATATCATGCACGCACAGCAAGTGATTTTGAAGATACTTGGACGGCCCTAGTCAATGAGTATGGTCTTCAAGAGGAGAATGCATATCTCCAAAAGGCGCAGATGTTAATAGACGATGAAACGAAGCCCAATGATTCACAGGTAATTTATTTTAATATATTTTTGGTTCACGTTCAGCTCCAGTTCTGGATTTGTCACTCCTGCTCTTAACATTTTCCACTTGTTTTTTTTTCGTAGGAGATAGATACAGACCGTAAAGATGTCAAGAGGGAGGTGGAGGCTCCTAAGTTGATCATTTCTCGTCATAGTGATGATAAATTCTCATCCTAGTGATGAGAAATGTGACTCGCCCACCGTCTGAATAGCAAACATGAGGCAACATGCAAGTACCAGCCGAAAATCAACTCTCTGATGGTGTGATATGGTTGCCAGCCATCGGTCAAATAAGCAGCCATTCGGTGTTTTTACATTTATGAATCACAATCGTACTGTAATAATAAACTAGTTACATCTATATTTATAGATCGTTTTTACTTTAATTAGCATATGTTTCATTTATATTATGCTAAACTCCTATGATATGTGGATGAGCCAATTCACCGATATTTTGTTTCCTTTCAGACTTCACTTAAGAGATCTACTCTTTCAATTCAGCATATTAAACTTCTAAAAGCGCATCTAAAACACTGTGGAAAGAAATTGAATTTAATCTAAATCGGCACATATGGAAAAACATGGTGGAAATAATAATACACAGTACACACATTTAAATTTTAGATATACTTAAAATCCATGGTACAAAAATATACTTGGATTTATTTATATTAAATTTTAATTTTAGATATACTTAAAATCCATGGTACAAAAATATACTTGGATTTATTTATATTAAATTTTACATCCGGACGTAACGACTTAAAATATACTTGGTTCCAAATTTAATTAGGAAATAATGTACTGTCAGCCTAGGTAGGCGAGTTTTAAATTCTAATAATCTACAGTACACAGATTTGAAATATAGATATACTTAGAAACCATGGTATTTCTATTTACAACAATATAAGATGACAATAATAAAATATACCGTGTACACAAATTGTAAATTTATATACGCTTGGATTCATAATATAATTAAATTAACGTAATTTAAAACTTTGTATACTTAACAAGTTAGCTAAGTATATAGAAAAAATAACCCGTGTATACATAGCCATTACATTACATAAATGAGTAAACATTTTCTGAATCTGGAAAGTGCAAAACGCACTAATTTAGCTAGGTGTACATAAGCATACCATATACTTAGCCTCCATATATACTTATATTCCAATTACATCGTCCATGGTGTACTTAGGGTACCTCGGTTTCCTTCTATAATTATTTTCAAAATAACAGCAGGATAACATTTCCATATATACTACATCGTAGAAGTATACTTAGATTTTCATATACCCTAATAAACCGCATTATATTTGTTGCCAAATAAACCGCAAATCCATGATTATGGTGACAAATATTTAGAAACCAAATAACGGCCGTGAACTGTTGATGGAAAGGTATTAAATACGCTAAATTGATACTCCTAAATATTTTGCATGCATGCACACGCTGTCAATTACCAAACCTAGGTATTAAAGACGTTACTAAATATTTTGCATGCATGCACACGCTGTCAATTTCCAAATCAAATGTACTTAACGGGTGAACCCGTTAATCAAATATACATGTACCGATCAACTAGATGAGAATGTGATCCAACGGCAGATGTCAGTGGTGCCCGGGCACCATGGAGCCCTATCTGGGCGTCCTATATATATATATATATATATATATATCTTTTTAACTGCAATATGATTTGGGAACCTTAATTGAAATCCAATGGTCCAAAATAAATGCAACGTAATGACTTGTATGAACTCTGATTAAAGCAAACTATTTAAAACGATGAATTTTCACACCTACCTTCTAACTAATTTCCATACACTAGTACAGATCCTTCCATCTGTCACGGCCCATAACAAGACTGGAATTTACGAGCCGTCACAAGGAAGTAATCTCAATCGGGCCGAAGTTTCACCCGATTGAGATATGGTCGCACAGCCATGGTATATCGGCATAAAACTAAAGCCCGTCACGGATGACACTTATCTGTGACGGGCCATAGTTGAGGCCCGATTGAGATGAGGGTTCCATATCTCAATCGGGCCCTAAACGAAGCCTGTCACAGATGAGGGTCATCTGTGACGGGCTCCAACTAGAGGCCCGATTAAGATAAGTTTAATGCCCGTCACAGATGACACTCTTTTTTGATGGGCTTTTATTAAGGCCCGATAGAGATTACTTGTATGCCCGTCACGGTTGATTGTTTTAGGGCCGTTACAGATATTTGTTGCACAGTATAAATACCCCCCACCACCTAGTGTAATTGTATCCCACTGTTCACTATTTTGGTGGGAGGCTGTAGGGGGCGATTTTTTGTCTTTTTTTCCAAGGAAAACAGAAAATTCCCAAAAGTGATCAAAATGGATCAATCAAGTGAGTAATATTAATCATTAATTGAGCAATTTCATCACGTATTACTTTTGCAATACTGATCTTATAAGATGTGCATGTAATTTGTTTTTTTTTATTTTGTAGCAATCGATCGAAGTTGGATGTATGCGAAAAATTTGAAACGTCAATCTACGGAGTACAGAAAGGGCGTAATAAATTTTATGAACGCCGCGGAGGAGGATCGGAAAAGAAGAAACAGTGATTACATGTGTTGTCCATGTGCAGATTGCAAGAATGAGAATATGTTTGATAGCGCAGAGGACGTATACGGTCATTTGATATAACGAGGATTCATGAAGGGCTATACATGTTGGGTGAAGCATGGAGAGCAAGAATCAGGAAGTGGAGTAGCAGCAGACAGAAGTGGTGCGCATAATCAGGAAGATGAAGATGAGCATGACATGTTTATACCTTCTCCATTGGGCGGTGAAATGGTTGATGTAGATCACGATCTGCTGCAAGACATGTTACGTGACGTTGAGGACCCAGCCCAGAATGAGAGAGATGGAATGAAGTTCAGCAGGTTGGTCAGTGATTCCGAGACGCCTCTGTACGCTGGATGCAAAGCAAAACACACTAAGTTGTCAGTTACCTTGGACCTAATGAAGCTGAAGGCAAGTAGTGGATGGACAGACAAGAGTTTCACGGATCTTTTAGGAATTTTGAAGGCTATGCTTCCTGTTGAGAACACATTGCCCGCGACGACATACGAAGCAAAGCAGGTTCTGTGTCCACTGGGGTTAGAGGTCCGTAGAATTCACGCTTGTCCAAACGACTGCATATTGTACCACAAGCAATATGCAGACTTGGATGCTTGTCCTGTCTGCAAGGCTTCTCGATACAAGCGAAAGAAAAGTGCTGACGAAGAAAATAAGTCAAAGAGGGGTGGTCCGGCAAAGGTTATGTGGTATCTACCTATCATTGATCGTTTCAAGAGAATCTTTGCCAACCCGAACGAAGCGAAGTTAGTACGTTGGCACGGCATGGAGAGAAGGAATGACGGTATGCTTAGACACCCAGCGGATTCGATTGAATGGAGGAATATCGATCGAAAACACAAAGACTTTGCTACCGACCCTAGAAACATGAGGATATATCTGTGTACGGATGGCATGAATCCTTTCGGTGACATGAGTAGTACTCACAGCACTTGGCCAGTTCTTATTGCGAACTATAACCTCCCGCCATGGTTATGCTTTAAACGAAAATATATTATGTTGTGCTTGTTAATCCAAGGTCCGAGGCAACCAGGCAATGATATCGATGTATTCCTGGAGCTTGTTATCGACGATCTGGAGATTCTTTGGAAAGAAGGTGTGGAAACTTGGGATGCATATGGTCAGGATAACTTCAAGCTAAGAGTTCTATTGTTCTGCACCATTAATGACTACCCTGCACTCGGTAATCTTTCCGGACAAACTATAAAAGGAAAGAAGGCATGCTCCGATTGCAAGGAACATACACGAAGCCGGTGACTGAAGAAATCACGAAAGATGGTATACATGGGTCATCGGAGGTGGCTCCCGCTACGTCACACATTTAGAAGAAGGAAGAAAATATTTAACGGTAAGAGAGAACTTCAGCCTGCTCCCAAAGATTTGTCCGGAGATGAGGTCCACAATATGGTCAAGGACATAAGCAATGAGTTTGGGAAGAAAAGAAAACGTAGCAAGACAAAGGAAAAGGGTATGTGGAAGAAAAAATCCATATTTTGGCGGCTACCTTACTGGAAAGATCTTGATGTCCGTCATTGCATTGATCTCATGCATGTAGAAAAGAATGTGTGTGAGAGTTTGGTTAGCCTGATGTTGAATATTCCCGGGAAGACAAAGGACGGGTTGAACACGCGCCTTGATCTACAGGACATGAATATTCGCAGTGAACTCCAACCCATACGAGATGCAGAGACAGGTAGAGTGTACCTCCCTCCAGCTTGCCACACATTGTCGAAGGATGAGAAGATTGCAATGTTATCATGCTTGAAGGATATTAAAGTTCCATCGGGCTATTCAGCGAGGATAAGTAAGTATGTTAAATTGGATGATCTAAAACTTGTTGGAATGAAGTCTCACGATTGCCACGTGCTAATCACACAAATCTTGCCAGTTGCTATCAGAGGCATTATACCACCGAAAGTGCGTCACACGATCCAACGTCTGTGCGCCTCCTTCAATGCAATTGGACAGAAGGTTATAGATCCAGAAGATCTAGATGGGTTGTAGACCGACCGATATTGTGAATACCCTTTGTCACCTGGAGATGTTTTTCCCACTATCTTTCTTTGATATAATGGTTCATGTCCCTGTTCATCTGGTGAAGCTAACAAAACTATGTGGCCTGGCCTTTCTAAGGGAAATGTGGCCGTTTGAAAGGTACATGGGAGTTTTAAAGTCGTACGTTCGTAACAGAGCTAAACCCGAGGGGAGCATCATTGAAGGTTACACGACCGAGGAGGCTATTGAGTTCTGTGTCAATTACATGTCCGATGCCGATCCTATCGGAGTTCCTGCGTCTCGTCACGAGGGAAGGTTGTCAGGTGTTGGCACAATCGAAAGGAAAAGAATTAGGCCCGATCAAGCGTCGTACGCGCAGGCTCATTACGCTGTACTCCAACATATGGCAGAAGTTGGCCCATACTTTGAGGAGCACTTAGCGAAAATCCGAGATGAGAACTTGGGGCGATCTGATGCATGGATTAACAGAGAACATAATTCTCGGTTCAACGAATGGTTCAAGAATCATGTGACAATGTCCACAGATGTCCCAAATGAGACAGTACAGTTGTTGGGGATGGGACCGTCTTGGACCGTAGACACATGGCAAGGATACGATATAAATGGATACACATTTTACACCGTCAAACAAGATGACAAAAGCACAGTGCAAAACAGCGGTGTCCGTATAGATGCATTCCAGGATCAAGTTGGGTCAAACACATACTACGGCCGCATTGAGGAGATCTGGGAGCTAAACTACGTCAAGTTCAAGGTTCCTTTGTTCCGTTGCCGTTGGGTGAATCTACGCACTGGTGTCAAAGCCGACAAGAAAGGTTTCACTTTAG